TGATAAAAAGCGCCGCGGAGGTGTGGAGGCTGAGGGCCGTGGCCCCGTGTGCCTCTTCCACCCCACCGCCTTCCTCCTCCTCTTCCTCGCGCGCTGTTATTTCTGGCTCCCCCTTGAACTCCTGCACCCGCTCCCGCTTGCAGCCTCTCATCAAAACAAGCTACTTGTGAGCGTGGTGAGCCGCTCGAGAGCTGGGAAAATGGCAAAACCTTTCTGTTTGGTCGCTCGCTGGCTGACCGTGAAGTATTTTTCACTCTGGTGCCCTGCTTCCTCTCAGGCCCTCAGTTTTGTGCTCATCCTCTGTTGCTGTAATTTAATACTAATAGCATTTTGGTTTGGGTGCTTATTTTTCCAGCAGGTAGGACTTTGCTTTGGTTTTTCGAGGGCGGCGTGTATTAATAGCGGCAGCACGCTGGTGTTAATTATGAGCTCTGGAGCTTGAAGTATTTTTCACTCTGGTGCCCTGCTTCCTCTCAGGCCCTCAGTTTTGTGCTCATCCTCTGTTGCTGTAATTTAATACTAATAGCATTTTGGTTTGGGTGCTTATTTTTCCAGCAGGTAGGACTTTGCTTTGGTTTTTCGAGGGCGGCGTGTATTAATAGCGGCAGCACGCTGGTGTTAATTATGAGCTCTGGAGCTTGTTTGAAAGCGCTGCAGCGCGTAACCTCAAAAAGCAATCAGCCGGAGAAGTTATGGCAACAAAACCCCAAAAACTTAACTAAACTGCTGCAGGGAGTGTGGTTCCCTGTGGGTTTTGTGGGCTGCCAGGCAGCCACAAGCCTCTCAAAACTTCTTGTTTGGGATAAGCTTTCCGCTGTTATTACAAACCTTTCTTCTCAAAGGCTAAGTAAAATTGCGCTGGAAACAATTAGAATAACAAGTGCTAACAGAAAGCGGTGGATCACTAATTAGCTTTTACAGTTACAGCAGCCTCTGCGAGTCCTCCTTTTGGCAAAGCAGGAGAAACCCTGAAAACCTTGCCCTGTCCTGCCTCAGATTTCGTTATCGTGCTTTATTAGCATTGCGTTGTTTTTTCTCCAGTGGAAAAACGTGCCCTGCAGCGTTAGGTGGGGTTAGCCGACGAGCCCACCGCACGCTTGAGGTGGCAAAATGAGCAAGGTGATCTAAGTGGTTTGTCTCTGCGAAAGCGTGCCCGTCCGGAGCCCTGTACCCCTGGCTCCTCACCGTGCAGCTCTTGGAGGGGCCTGGGGCTGCCCCACACCTCCCAGGTTTTCTTGGGACTAAGAGAGCACGCGGAACGGGTTGGAGGTGAGGCGATGCACGCACAAACACGCTTTTTCTTGCAGAAGTTCAGTGGAAGTAATATTTCAGGTGGGATTAACGCTAATAACTCGTCAGGGGAATTCCCATCAGAAAACGATGGAGAGTTTCTTTTGTTTCAACCGCCCGATCGGGCGCACGTGCGGTCTTTGTGGTGTTGGTGCGCAGAGTGGTACCCGTCAGATGGATGGATGGATGGCTCAGAAGTAGCTGAGTTACTACTGACGGGGTAGAGCTTGTGCTCCAAAGGTGTGAAAGAGTTTTAATTTTTTCCCAGCCTCAGGACTCGCTGCCTAGTGGGGGAAGAAGTGAGGGCCTCTATTCTGACACCTTATTGTCAGCGAGAAGTGACACGCACAAATGGCATGTGCGGCCAGACTTAAAATAGACCCCGGCCGCTGCCCAGGGAGCACGCGGCGTCCTTATATGTCCCGTTGCACATGCCACAGCCGAGGGGCAGGGGGGCCACCCCCTCCACCGCAGGTGCTGGGACTGGGGAAAGCGCTTCCTCTGGGGCCTGCCCACGGCCTCCTCCAGATACGACAAGTTGAACGTTCATCTGTGTGTTTAGGGGGAACAAAACCCCTGAGTACGATGTTCAAGCTGATGTCGGTGTTGCCATCGAGCGAGCATGACCAGGTTTTTGCGTCAGTCTGTCGGTAAAGGGGAAAGAAGGAAGCGATACAGTGACGAGCCCTGCAGAAGCGGCTCGGTATCAGTCTTTTTCTCCTTTTAACGTGAACTTTCTTTATTTCTTGCCCGAAGGATTGCCAGAAGATTTTAAACCAGATGAGAGAGATCACAGGGATTCAAGATTCGGATTTGCTTCAGGCCGCTCTAAAGGTTTGTGCCCATTGTCGTTTTTGTGGGGAAAGAGGGCCTCTGAATTTGGGTCCCAAAAATCAGGTGAGCCCAGGCTCTCTCAAAACGTCATGCCAGGGCCGCGTGTTCCCTGCTGCGTCTGCAGCTGACGATCAGCCCCACACTAAGTGGAGAACGGCTCGTTGTTCTAGCAGTAGACCTTAAAACCTGCGCTGCAGCAGTGCGTGCCGCACTAAAGCAGCGTAAACATTTCCCTGAAGTTCTGCTCCTGCAGGGCCGTTATCTGTTATTATGGTCAACAAAAGCGAGTGGATCGGAGCAGGTTTTTCTCCGTGTAAACTGCTCCAGGAGCTCTGGACGGCAACAATAACATCAGTATCTTTGTGGCTGGGAATATCTTGTCTGTCACCAGAGCGAGGGGCCATGGGAATCTCAGGCACTTGGAACAGCAACCTTTACCTGGGAACATTTCTCCTCACAACTGTGTTTTGCTATTTATACCAGTCTTAAACTGGTCACAACCACATCGGTCTGGAATTGCCAGATGCTGCCATCTTCCTTAGATGCGGCAGCAGGATGTGAGTTGTGCTCATGATATGCAGAGAGCTTTGTTTAAAAAAAAAAAATCCTTACATGTTTCGTTAAGTGATTGTGTCCCAAAGACGTTGGAATGCGTTTAAAGTTAGAGCTTAGCCTGTTGAGATGGCCTGAAGAAAGCCCTAGCTCGGTAAGAGACACATGTCTCGAAATCCACAGAGAGTCTGACTCCCAGTGGCAGAGTTCCCTGTCGTGCTTGCGACTACTTGACTCTCTTCTGAGGGAAATGAAATCAGCTAATGGAGACTGCCTTGCCCTAGTGATAAAGCCAAAGTGCTTTCTGATGGAGAAATCCTAGCCTTCGTTACTGTCGTTTTTTGGCACCAGCAGATAGCTCTCTTTCGTGGCCAGGGGCAGCAAAGCCGCCAGCAGCGCACCGGTCTTTACCACAGGGACATTAAACGTCACGTGTGTGTAGGTGAGGTAACTGCGGTGCTATGGATCTTTTCCCCCCTCTGTCATTCTCCTAGGCTGCTAAGGGAGACCTGATGGAGGCAGTCATCTTCCTCACGGAGGATCACAGCGAGGAGCTAGCTAAGGACGTGGCGGCTGTCGAGCCATCCACAGGGGAAGGCAGCGCTTTGGCCACACAGCCCCAGCAGAGTAAGTCACTCATCTCCACTCGCCCTGGTGCGTCCCCATGTTCCGGCCGGAGCTGAGAGGGGAAACGTCGGTCCTGCCTGTCCTGCCGGAGAATCCCTCCAGCTCCTGTGCCGGCACAGATCTGATTTTTGGTAGTACTGGTCACTTGCCGCGAGACTGTTCGGGGAATGAAACCTTCCTGGTGAAGGAGAGCTGCCTCTGACAGGGAAGTGACTGAGCTGGGGTTTCGTAGTCTCTGTAGATGAGGCAGAGTTACCCAGCTGTCGCTGTTTGAAACACTTGGTCTTGGCTGACACAGAAAGCTCCAAAAGCGGAGCAAGCCGAATGGAGAACTGAATCCCCGTCAAGCATCGCACATTCCTTGCTACAGCATCTGCCGGCAGAGCAGGCGATGGAGTGTTTTGGATCGCATTTCCGTGAAAACCTAAAATGTTACTCGAGCTAGCAATTTGACTGTGTGAAGAATGTTGTTGTGTTACAAGTATTGGCAGAAGTGGGCCATCAGTTTGGGAGGTGTAGATGTAAAAAGTGTAACTGTTGCCTGAGGTAGCCGAGAATAGTTTCTTTAAACCTTTTGGCTAATGGCTTAACTGGAACTTGCTCAGGTGAGAGGGATTCGCAGTGCCAAAAATCTGGGCCGGCAGCTTTGAGGCAGCACTCGGAGCGACGTGGCTGCCCTTTGTTTCACTGTTCAAGGCTTCCACCTCTTCTGCAACTACTCGTTTTCCATTCTCCTTTCCTACGTAGCTGCTGTGTGCAGGGACTCAGAGCTGAGCACCCTGACACAGTGAAGGAAGGTGGTTCCGTGTGACTGTGCCCATTTTACTGCAGTCCGTTATTTCTCAAAATGGTGTCGACTGTCGGCACTGGTGTCGAGGCACAGCAAATATAAGCAGCAGCTGATGTTCCTCTTTCATTGTTTGAGAGGTTTGAAATGTTCCCTCAAGCTCTGCGTTTGGCAGTAAGGAAATCTGGCCACTACACAGCTGCGTGGTCTGTCCTGCTCTCAGCCAGCCCACTCGATGGCTGGAGGAGGTTCCTTAGCATGAGCTAAGATGTGAGGATTTGCATTTTAAAAAATTATGCTCGTATCGATTGAAAAATCGTGCTTGTGAACGTTTTCTGCAAGTTCTTGTTATAGAGAACATTTGCCTGCTCCTGGTGGAAAACTGACCAGAGTACTGCCTCCCCTTCTAGATGTGACTGCCTTGCTTACCCCTACCAAGAACGATGACCCTGGTGCAGCCGGTGCCTTCAGACTGCTGGAATCGCCAAAAGCTCAGACTGCGGAAAGAGACGCTGCTGAAAGGTGAGTGTGTCCACAAGTTAGATTTGGTTTTCCTGGGTATCGTAAACGGATTCCTTAGCTGGTAACTGCAAACCAAACACAAACATAAACCACCCACCAGGTGTGTACCTGCTGCTTCTAAAAGGAGCTGGGGTCATTACTGCCTTCCGGGTAGCATCCTGCTCACGCTGAGAGGGGCACACGGTTCCCGTGGTTCTTGAGAACCGCTGTGAGGGGGTGTTCTGCATCGCGGCGCCCTTCTTTTGTGACAGACCGCAGGAGACGCCTTCTGCTGAAAGCAAAACCCGCTCCAAAAGGAAACGCGGTGAAGACTGGGGAGAGAGCCTCAAGCACAGCGACTGGAGAAGAGTGGGAGACTGGCCCGTTGGCATGAAGAACATTGGAAATACATGTTGGTTCAGCGCTGTCATACAGGTGAGCCGAACGAAAAGTTCCCTTGGAGTTGCTGTGGTCTTGGAGTCCAAACATTTGTCAGTTAGAATCCTGGGAAGCAGTCATCGCGTGCAAGTGCGAGAACGCGACCGTGCTCCAATGGGAGCGATGTTTTCCTTTGATACAGTGGTGGGCGTGCGCAGAAAGAGCCAGAGAGCGGTTAAATACGCTTTGCATAAAAATAGATACCGATACATACAATCTTCGTGTACGCACGCGGGGCTTTTTTTGGCGTGGCGATGTCCAAATGCTTCCTGAGTGACAGAAGCTCAACTGGCAAAGCGAACCGATAATTTAATTTCGCTGCAGTTATTGTTGGCTCCATAGCACACGGGGTGTATCGTGTTCCAGTTAATGGAATATGCTGGCATGGATGCCTGGACAAGTAAGCAGCTAGGCAGCATATATTATTAGTGATAACCTAAACGAGAAGAGACAGCAGTAAGTGGAACTGAGCAGATTTGTCTCTTCTAACCATTTCACGTCGCCAGGGAGATGTTAATCATGTGTCTCCAGCCCTGAGAGGAAGCAAGTGAGCTTCAAATGGGCTCCTTCCTCGCTGTGCCCACTCCTGGGTGCTTCCTCTGAGCTTGCCTGGGCAGGACAGGCTATGGCGTGCTTGTATGTGTCCTGGAAAGGGCCAGGTGAGGTTTTGTTCTTCGGTGAGTATGAATGTGCCAGTCGCTTTGTGAGCGTTTGCTTAGTGGCTGAAGGGCATCAGAGAGTGAGAAGCTACAAAAAAGCTGTCGAGTAAAAGAGCAACGTCGGGGCATCGGATCGAGTCAAAGCCTCACAGGTGCTGACTGGTCTCTACCTCTCCTTTCCTTGCAGTCTCTGTTCCAGTTGCCAGAGTTTCGGCGGCTGGTCCTTGGCTACTCCCTCCCGCCAAATGTGCTTGAACGTTGCTGTACTCACACTGTAAGTTTTCATCAAGTAACGCTGGGAAGTTTCCCTCTGTAGCGGTAGCCTGCTCTGCTCTCTCTAAGCAGATTTAATTTAGGGCTGTCTGAGACTCCCATGCCTACATTAATGGCTTTCAAGTTGTCAGGCTACACTAAAGACAAATTTGGGAAATAGTTTTCCAAGACAGAGTGGCTGTAGGAAAAAATCGAATGCTTCTCGTAAAAGCTTTCCTCTGGAGCCTCTGACTGTAATGTGGGGACAAATCGGGCCCATAAAACTTGTCTGGTGGCTCCAGACTGTAATTTTGTTCACACACACTGCAGAAGGGCTGGTGCTGGAGCCGGTCAGGAAGTGCCTCTACCCCTGGGCCTCCTGACAGCGGTCAGCAGAAGGCACCTAGAAAATACTTGGAGAAAGAGGCACGTGCAGAGTAATCCTTCGCTCGTTGTAGCATCCGAGCTTGTGGCCACTGCCTTTTGAGTGACTTTCACTTGTGCTCTTGGCACTCTAAGAAACCTTAAAAGCGGGCAGAACGAATCCATAAATTCGCCACCTCTGGCCTTCTGGTTTAGTAACTATGACACCTGGCACTCTCTTCTCTGAAGGTTTTATTTCAGTTAGTTTTTTTCTCCAAGGCATCCATGGGGGGGTCACAAAGCAATGCTGCAGTCCATCATAAGGCCGCCTCGCCCCTTGGTGGAACCTCTCGGGGGGTTGCGTGTGGTGTGCGGTAGCACTTCGGTCTGAGACACTGCTTCTTCTGAGCTGCTGGAAGGGTTTGGCTTTTCTTCTTTTTGCAATGCAGGGAAAAAGAAACGTGGCGTTCATGCAAGAACTTCAATATCTCTTTGCCTTAATGCTGGGGACACGTCGTAAGTTTGTAGACCCTTCTGCGGCACTGGAACTCTTGAGGGACGCGTTTAGATCTGCTGAAGAACAGCAGGTAACACCGCGTTAAAAAGCTTTTCCCTTCCTTCGAAGCGGCCCTCGCAGCCGCGACGAGCCTATTTTGCTTCGTCCTGCTGTTTCATTCGGAGGCCTCTTCCTGTGTTTGTCAACCGACAAGCAGCTGTCCCTGCGCTGTTTAGGCAAAATGAACGTGCTCGCTAATTAAACAGCCAGCGACACCGTGCACCACCCGGCACCATCTGGGTACTCGATTAGCGATCACAATCATTTCCTCTGATCTAGTTTTCAGAGGAGCAGAGCGCTCGTTATCCGTCTAAATCAGCGCTTCAGGTTTGCGCTTCTTCCCGCTGGGGAGCTCCAGCGGCGCTGGCCAGGTTGCACCCCAGGAGGCCGGTGCTGGCCGATGGGTGCCGCGCTTGACGCTTCGCTTCCATCTCCCTTCTAGCAAGACGTGAGTGAGTTTACGCACAAGCTGCTGGACTGGCTGGAGGACGCGTTCCAGCTCACTGTGAATGCCAAGTGAGTGTTTGCCATCTCGGGGGTTTGACCTGATACCCAGGAGAAAAAGATTTTACGTGCGACGCCTTAAGAAATGAGAGAGCTTTAACCGAAAATGTTGGGTAAATGAACCAGAGTTCTTTGTTTACCAAGGACGACACTTCTTAAGCTTGAGCTGCACTTACAGAGTGTCGTATCCACTTCTGCTGTGCGTTAGCGCAGGGTTTGAAATTCAACGCTGCATGGCCTGCAGAGTAATTAAGTTTTTTAGGGGAATGCAGCAGAACTGATGTATGTAAACAATCTGGTTTTTTGGAAAGGTATTTTAGAAGGTAGTGCCTTACGTGTTTTTTTTTTTTCCCCCTTGCTAGTGTAAGCTTTATAAACGCTTTGGAGCATGGAAACAGATGAGGAGCTTCCCCTGTAACTTGCGGATAGAACACTTTGCTGTTGACTGTAGGAGTGCTGGGGCTTTTCCACAGCCTGCAGCTGCAAATGAACGTGCATTTTTTCTTTCTGAAACAGGACCCCCGGGGACAAGTCTGAAAACCCAATGGTACAGCTGTTCTACGGGACTTTCTTGACAGAAGGTGTCCACGAGGGTGAGTTAAGGGTTCGGTAGATTCACTTTTGAACTCCTCCGAGTGTTTTCCTTGATGGCAGCGATGACACAGGATTTTGTTGCACGTTCCTGATGAAATTGCCCGGGTCTTTAAACTTGCAAAAAGTCATCTCTTCAGTTAGCTGACAGGGTTTGTGTCATTTACGTCGTCCAGGCAACACCTTTTCCAAGATCGAAACCTTCGGTCAGTATCCCCTTCAGGTCAATGGGTATCGAAACTTGAACGAGTGCTTGGAAGGAGCCATGGTGGAGGGGGAGATGGAGCAGGAGACAGCGTCTGACTCGGTGAAGTATGGACAGGAGGTTAGTCTTACCTTTTTTTGTTGAGCATTGGGCTGCCTGCTGCAGAAGCAGCAGCGCGGGGCTGTCTCTATATGTTCCAATTACATTAGATGGCAATTGTAAACGTTCCCTAAGAACTGACTACAAAAAATTTTCTGGCTACTTGGAATCTCACATAAATGCACGTTAGCGTTACGTTGTGAGATGCTCCATCCTTGCTTACGTGTAAAGATGTGTTGTCCTATGTAACTGGTTCGAGGAGTTTGTTTTAAATTAACAAGGTAAACCTGTGCTGCTGATGCAAGTGTGATAAAGTCTCTCTCTTTCTGTTGAAGCCTACCTGTACCTGAGTAGGGGGAGAACCACTGCCTCCATATTTTCGGAGGGTAAAAGTACAGTGCTTAACTCTATGGTATGCCATTTGGAATTTGTATCTTTCTCCCTATTACAGTGTGTGTTTTTTAATTCTCATTTCCACTCTTATCTCCTGACTGTGCTGATTTTTATTTTGATTATTTTTGTTTCTAAATCTCGTGAATCACAAACTAATCATAAAATACTCAGTCGCAGCAAAGTAGAAAGCGAAGGTGTGCCATTCCATCCAGCATCCCACACGCGCCAGCGCGGCTGGGGAGTAACGTTCACAAACTGGCAGAGGTCTCTGGCAAGGAGGGGACAGGGAAAGGGGTCTCATTTCTGTGCGATAGTCTGAAAAACGTGTCCCCATGGCTTAAACTAGCAAAGGAGGAGCGATATTTGGGGCGGATCAGCGCCCTCCGGCTGGGGGCTGGAGGGCTTGTGTGCAGTTTCCACAGTTGCTGCCCGAAGCCGCGCAGGAGCACGCAGAGCAGGCGCAGACGAGAGGGCTGCAGGCTGCTGCTGCAGACAGGGACATCAGGAGCTCCTCGGGCAGGGTCTTTCCAATCTGAGCTTTTTCACGCTTCCAAATCCCGTTCCGATCAAACAGCATCGGTTGCGGAGGCATGTCAGTCAGTCTTTGTCTGCACAGGTGGGAGGAGAAGACTCTGACTTGTAAGAAACCCAAGTTGAAAAACTGTGCCTCTTAATTTCACTTCCCAGGATGTCAGGGCTAGAGGACTGTGTGGTAGGGGACGTGGCGAACGAGGTGTATTTTGGCTTTTGAGAGCGTAGGTGAGCGTCCTGCAGCTCAGAGCATCAGGGGTATTAACAAGAATGTACGTTTCCCCAGGGTAGCAAGCGTGGGTAGAGCCCTTCCCATATCTTTGTTCACGAAGCCTAGCCGTGGTGATGGTGACGTTTCTGCAGGGTAGTAGGTGTGTGAATCGTTCCTTCACTGTGTTTACATCCTCTTGTTGGGCTGCTTCTCAGAAAGCTCAGCGACCAGGCCGTTTCCTTCCCAAGCTTTTTAAAAGCAATAAGAAAAAGCCGCCTGCATTGGAAATATTTTAGAACTACAAATGTGCCTTGCTGGGGCAGCTGAAGGACACTTGTGGCGGTGGCTGCTGGAAATGCTTGTGACTTTTAGAGAGGAAGCGTCAGGTCAAGGGAGAACTTTCCTTTCGGCATGGCTCTTGGCAACAGCGAGAGAAATGTAGAGGAAGCAGGCACCTTCTGGGGATCCCCGTGCCCAACTGGTCTGTGAATAGGCTGGGGGAGGATTGGGAATGGGGTAGTGCTCTGGGACGTCTGTTCTGTTCTTCATCATTGCATGTGGTCTGCATTGGAAAAGAACTCTCTCGGAGGCCCTCGGCCGACGTGCAGAGTTTGTGTGATGTCTGCTTGTTTTGTGAAATTCAGTGCTGGACCCATTAATCACCCGTCAGGAGGGACGCATCAGGCAAGGAAAAGTAGCTTTCTGAAAGATACGAAGAGGCTTTGTTACAGTAAAAACGTAGAACAGAGGCGGAAATTTTAATCTGGCTTTCCGACTAGTTACCAAAATATCCGCCAGTTTGGTGTTGAAAGACAGACAGGCACTTAGGATGCATCTGAGAGCATTTAGGATCAGTCTAAAACGCGTCGCTTAGCACTCCTCCTAAAACAAGTCCCTTTGGGGGTATTTGTGCTTCCCTTCCAGCGCTGGTTTACAAAACTCCCACCGGTACTGACCTTTGAACTTTCGCGCTTTGAGTTCAACCAGTTGCTCGGACAGCCGGAGAAAATTCACACCAAGCTAGAATTTCCCCAGACTATTTATATGGACAGGTGAGTTGCTGTCCTGTACGGTGAGTTGAAAGCTGCCGCTTTATCGCAGTTAATGAAATTCAAAAGGTCCTACAGCTGAGCGAGGAAGGACTATGAAATATTTACGGGAGACTGTGGATGCTGGAGGTACACAAGACTCACAAGACGCGGCTCCGTCTTTCTCTATTTAGGTACCTCTACTGCAGCAAAGAGCTTATTCAGATGAAGAGAGAAGAAATGAAAAGACTAAAGGAGAAAATGATGACTCTGCAACAGAAGCTGGAAAGGTGAGCGGTCAGCTAGCTTTATGTTTGGGCCCCATGGAAGCACTGCCTTTCAAAAGAGCTTTCCAACAGATGAGAAACTTGTAGGGGAGGGAGGAGTGGGACCACGTTTGTTCCAAGAAGCATGGAGTGAGAAAGCTACTGGCTCAGGTGGTGTCTGAAAGTTAGTGCTGTCTAAATTCTCCGAAGGGTCCGATCATCAGCGTGAGCTGCATCCTCAAGTTCCAGTGCGGCAGCTGGTGGTTTTTCTGTAGGTACATGAAGTACGGCTCTGGCCCGGCCCGCTTCCCGCTGCCTGACATGCTCCAGTACGTGCTCGAGTTCGTCACAACAAAGCCAGCCGCGGTCGCTTCTCCTGCTGCGGACTCTCAGCCCACGCTCCTGCAGCCCCAGGCCGAGCCTCCTGCTCTGGACACGCTTCTGCAGCCGAGTGGGTCAGTAAACACAAATAGTCTGTAGGAGAACACTTTGCCTTTCAGCTCTTTCCTTTTCCAAAAGCATTACCATGTTCCTTGTCCGAGCAGCGATTCTGAGGTAAATTATGTGCTCTTTTTGCTTAGACTACTAATTTTTTTTTGCTTCATCAACCGGTAAATTACTGCAATATTGGATTATTACAAACCCGGTCAGCATGGTCAGTTTATGCTCTAAGTTAAGCTGAGTAAGTACACGAGTTTCTTAGTAGTGAGGGAAGGAGTTTTGAGAATTGCTCATTGCAGATCGGTGCTTAGAGGATACTTTAAGAAGTTCGCTTTTGTTTACCCTATATTTTACTTTGATCTCTTAAGGTAGGAGTACATTTTGATGTACTTGTTCTCTTTGCGTTTTGTACCATCCTGGAAGGGAAATCCTGCTCTGGCTCCGGAGTAATTTCTGTTTGGTTTATTTCTTGTGCTTCTCCAAAAAGAGAAAAGATAAAAGTTGAAAAACCCACCCACTGCTCTTGGTGTTTGCTTCCCAGCACACTAGAAGGGAGAGGTGCGAGGACCGAAGACGAAGCTGTCTTTTCGGGAAATTCTGCGGTGCAGCAAAGACCAGGCAGCCCCCTCCAGCCTGCTGGGGAGCCGGCAGAACCACCGGAGTGTCCAGCTCCTCACGGCGTTTCCGAGGAAGAGCTGAACCTTGTTCAGGCGTGTCTGCAGCGATGGAGAGACGAGATTGAGCAGGACGTGCGAGGTCAGCCCCAAATGTCTCTGCTGTGGTTTCTTTCTCTTGAATGCCAGCCCAGTCCCCCTCTGTTGCCTCAGCTGGATACATCCTGAACTAGAAATAATCTTGTGTACGGTTCAGCTCTGGCATAAACCGTATTGACGGTTACCGCCTGGCTCTGTGCTTTTTGAAGTGGAAAGAGCCGGCATAAGCTGAGGAGGGGTCATTAATTTCCGTGTATTTCTCTCATTCTGGATGTTCTTGGCAGATCTGAAGGAGTCCATTGCCAGAACCAGCCTGTCCATCGAACAAATGTACTGTGACCCTCTCCTCCAGCAGGTGAGAGCTGCAGCTTCCCCAGGTAAACACCGAACTGACGCTGCTGATGCGGGCTTTTGTTAGTAGCTGTCACTTTGAACTGCCTGCGTTATGGTGCTTACCAAAGCCCAGTGATGAAGCAGAGGGTCTCATACTGGGCCTACAGCTGCATTTGTGGCTTTTAGAGAGAGATCAAAGTCACTTGCTAAAAGCACACCTGAAAACCCTGTCCCTGTGACCTTGCAGGTTCCGTATCATTTGCACGCGGTCTTGGTACACGAAGGGCAAGCGAATGCCGGTCACTACTGGGCCTTCATCTACAACCAGCCGCGGAAGAGCTGGCTCAAGTACAATGACATCTCGGTGACAGAGTCGTCATGGGAGGAACTGGAGAGAGAGTCGTTTGGCGGCTCGAGGAACGCCAGCGCCTACTGCCTGATGTACATAAGCGATCAGGTGTCCCGCCTTGTTGCAGGTACCGGCGCCGCACGTTTGCGTGTTACCCTGTCTCTAGCCCCCGTGGTCGTTGTCACATTCGTCAGCTTTGGCACAGTTGTCTTTCAACAACGCAACAAAACCCGTCACCCCAGATAGAAGTGAAGTCACTTGCTCCGTACTCGATTCATTTCTAAGTGCCTGATAGGGGTGAAAGCGGGAGAAAGAACCGTGGTGGTGAGATGAGGTGCGGCACTTTGCATGTTTGCGGTGTGTACAAATATTCAAGCTCCCCATCTGCCGCTTTCAACATCCCTGTAGCTCTGGCGTTCCTCTCTTTGACTCTTGATATAGTTTGTATGACACAGTTTGTTTTACAAGGGCATGTGAAAAGCCTCCGACTTGGCTTCTACCATTTTTGTCATGCTTTCCTACCCATCGGCTTGGTTTCTAGCGACGTTGCTGCATCGAACTTAAATGAGGCTCTTTTTTTTTAATGCCGCCTCTCTGAGTGCCTGAGTTCCTGGTAACAGCAGCTTAGGCTTGCGAGTGTGTCTGCAGTGCCAATGGATAAACAGTTACGTGGGGAAATTATCATGCACGTGGCACTATACATGGCAAACAGCTGTGGAAGAACCTAATAATTTCACGCGTGGCTCATTTTGATGTGATAAATAGAAAGAAACAATGGAGCACTGTCATTCTGTTCGTTGCTAAATGTGGCTGATGAGGATCGGGAAGTTGCTCTTTGTCTGCCTGCATATGACAGTTCCGTTCCTGAAACGAACCCCTGGTGGGTTTTGTCTCCTCTTTAATGCCGTTCTCATTGGTTTTTAAAGACTCTGCTTTTCCAGTGGCTGCATTAGAAATACCTGGTGTAGAGAAGCAGCGCTCGCTTGGGCTGTATTTTTGGGCTTGCCTAAAGCTGATACTGCTGGGGTTTGGGCTGTTTTGAAACCAAATACTGGCATATATCTAACAAGTGCTGGGAAGTACCGGCATGACAGTGTGGATTCCGTACGCTTCTCTGCCTTTAGATGCTCGGTGCTGTTGTAGGTGTGGCGTCTCTGGCTGAGTTTTTGCTTAGGAATCGTCTTCAGTTACAAAGCCAGTAGGACGTTGGGCATTTCTCCCATCTATCCCTTGGGCAGCTCGGTCGTGGCTGTCTGTGACATCGCGTGTTTGCTTAGTGTCCAAGGGCGGCGCGTTTCCTTACATGCCAGCGCTGCGTCTCTTCCAGACGGGGACGCCTGCTCTGAAGGCGCGCAGTTTCAGAAGGAGATCGAGGCCCTGCCCCTGGAGCTGCGACTCTACGTCCACGAGGACAACTGGCGGCTCGAGCAGGAGGCGGTGGAGTGGGAAGAGGAGCAGTCGTGCAAGATTCCTCAGATGGATCCTTCGCCCATCTCGGACTTGCAGGACCTCTCTTCCGAATCGGGACCAGGTGACAACCCCGCTGACTTTGCCCCGTGTGGGAGCCCTGTGGGAGCCCCTGGGGATATGGGAGAAGCTGAGGATGAAGTAGCAAAGGCAGCTGGTGGAGGCTCTCTCCCGGCAGCACGGCAGGCTTTTCTGCTGCTTTTGTGTGTGCATCCTTCCGAGCTTGTCACCAGCAGCGCTGCCTTCCACTTCCTTTAGTCATAACAGGCTAATTGCACTTCACTTCCAGGCTTTTTTTTTTTTTCCCCCAATAAATCCCAAGTAGAACTCACTTGAGTGCCGTTCTCCAGAGTGGGAACATGTCACTTGGCAGTCCCTGATGGCGTGCGCCGTCCCCATTGGGAAGGGGCTTGTGGGAGCTCACAGTGAAATGCCTTCCCCTCTGGGATGGATGCAGCAGCTGTTCAGTCCTGCACAGCCAATCTACAAAACATTTTACAGCGAGAGAGGAGAAGTCTCATGGTTTGTGCTCGCTCCTAACCACGCTTCTCTCCCAGCAGATCCATCCTCCGTGGGTGAGGAGACGGTGCGCTCTCTGTCCTCGGAGCATGCCATGATTGCCAAGGAGCAGACAGCCAAGGCCATCGCCAACACCGCAGACGCCTACGAGAGGAACGGCGTCGAGGCGGCTCTCTGTGAGGTAGGAGCCAAGTCCTGGCCCAGGAAGCCAGCCCTGCTTGTCTTTGTATTATTCTCAAGACGTCTTTGCTTTTTCCGTTTCTGTGTAGCTCTGAGGCCGTGCCATGTGTGACTCGGGCCCCCACTTTTGCTTTGCTGTGCTCTGCGTTGGTTTTCTCTCACTCTTTTTCTTCTTTTTCTTCTTGGCCACAGCCCAAGGAGGTAGAACCAATGAAGGCCCAACTGGGAGAAACAGCCCTTACAGTTCAGGCAGAGCCGCCCCAGGATGCTAAAGAAACAGAGGCTGCTGCCCAAACTAGCTCACAGGTCTCTGAAGTGGAAATCCCCAGTGTGGGGAAGATTCCCGTTAGATCCGATGCAGACGGATATAACGAGGAGGTACAGATCCCGGTGCAGGTGTTCGTTACCATTGCTCGTTAACCTCTGACTTTGCAGTTGGCTGGCTTGGTGCTTGTGCAAACCGTGCGGCTTCGGCAGTGCTCTTTCCCACTGTGGAAATGAGGAAGTCCAGGCCAAATCCTACAGTAATTTCCGCTCTAAGTGCTGTCAGAAAGCAGCTCTGTAGGAACACTCGCTCATTAGATCTGCACGTTGTTCCCGTCAGTCTTCTTTCTGGCCCGCCAATACCGCACTGCACCCCCGCGCTGTCACTTTACTTACCAGCCTC